TTGGGTTTCCAGAATTAAAATGGGACGTGTTCAGTGCAAATACTTTTGTGACACATTTTTTCAGAGGAGAGGGCATACACACAAGTATATTGCTTCTGTGTGTGAATGCAGGTTATGCATGTCAGTTCTCAGCTTCATACCGGTTGTATATCTGGATTTGTATATGGAACCATGCGTACAGCATGACAATTACTTGCTAGTCGTCAGTCTACAATACATGGGCCAAACCTTTTTCTCGCCCATGGGCGAAATATTTCAATATCGCTATGAAATCGTTGAATTAAGTTCAAAATGAGTTAAATTATGGACTTTTTGAACAAATGGGACGTGTTAATTACATGTACATTGACGTCATTGTGCCTCTGGTTTCGTTTTTGAATAAGCTGTGTTTTATGATGTTAGAAGTTTAATGGGTTCCTCCAAACTTATTAGGCACCTTTCACGCTTGACCACTTGACCGCTTGACAGAGGGGAAGAATGGTGTTGAAAGGTACCACAGGAGACTAGTAATGCCGATCCCTGATAAATGGCGAGCTGCTGGGGTTGGTGAGGTGAAATGGGGTTTAACGTCGTTTCCAAGATTATTGCACTTATATACCAACGTCCACACACGCGCATGTGTGCGTGTTAGTGTGGCTGCTTGTACAAGTCAGGACTGATGCCGATTTATAGTGCTGGGCCACTGAGATACCATGCCGCTGTTTAACACGAAAACTCAGACACAGTATACTGACTCCGAGCCGCCCAGTCCTTGTTTTAGCCCCTTAATGCCGAGCGCAAGACAGGGTAACAAAATACCATCTTTTGACGTACTTTGGTATAACGCGGTCGGGGATCGAACCCCGGACCTTCCCCTCTCCGGGGGGACGCTGTACCACTAGACCCCGGAGGCGGTCACAGCTGCTGGGAACGTGGGGGATGAAGAAGGGGCTCCAGCCAAATGATGACAAGATGACGATTGTGCCTGGATGCTTTCTGCTACAATACTTAATGTCGTGTATCTTATTTTAAAGAGACAATCTTGTTGAGACCGTCAATGTTCATGTTCAATCTACGCAACGTCATCGTTGCTGCTGAGGTAATGCAAGACGATGAGTCAAAATGGGACTGGGGTTTTCATTGAAAGAACCAATTGTCCCAGTTAATGCTTGAAAACAATATTTATGCTTTAGTCTGATGAAAGGTAACGAAATTGTCTGCCATAAAAAATAAATAACAAATAATAGGCTCAATTTTTAATATAGGAAATATCTGGTTTTACAACTGTAGCTATACCCAATCCCAGCAAACATCAACTGACCCAGAAACTTAATATGAATTTATAGTCCAGTGAACTATGTGAGTGTATAGTACTCTTGAGACGCTACTTAGAATAATTCGTATAGTTGATATATTTCAAATCTCAGTTACATGTCTTGCAGAAGTTCTGCTAACTGATTTAACACACAACTTAAGTGGAAACGATTAAAAACCAGAATAGTGTAACATTTTATTCCGTTTTTTGTGTCAATACCTCCATACCCATATCATTTCACAAGGGTTTTGTTACAATGAATAAGCCACAAGACGCCAACTTTCATTTCAAAACAGACATTATGCAAATATCGTTAAAGTTAACAACGCAAAACCAAAATCGTTGAAATTCCGATTTAGCTTTTTCTGTTGGTATTATATTGTAAAGAAAACAGTAATGTTTGTTGTGTAAAAATACATTGAAGCAAACGCTGTGGTCGCGTGCTCTGATGCAATAAATGGAAAGTAATTACCTTGAAAGCAGACAGAACAGTCAGTCCTTCACGGATGTTAAAGAAGTTAACAAGCTCTCAATGAACCGCCGCTTTCTGCAAATCGGTGTAAGTGTGTTTTGATATGACGGGTATAACATACCCCAACCTTTCTGGTACCCCATTTCGTATGGGGGGAGGGTGCGCTTAGGGACGGGGAGGACTCCGAATACTGTGTGGAGTTATGGATAGTGTTCCCATTGATCGGAAACCTGTATCATCAGTCAAATTCATGATCACAAAAGTAGTTCTTCTCACAACAAATGAATTCTCAGCACGCACATTGCTATTTCGCGTGTTCATTCCAGGAATTCTGATAACAACGTGAGCTTCCAAACCACAGCATGGTTATTTCGTTGTTGCCATGGCTACTTAGATAATCACGTTTTAATGGAAATATTATTTTGAACGTCATTTGGAAGTTCAATATTGAATAAATGGCACATTTGACCTTTTCAGTCCATTATGTCAAGACATCACTCATATTGGACGTCAGTGAGATATAAGACGGTCTACCATGTCTCTTCTTTTACGTATATAAATTGTTGCTAGGCAACATACACATCATCGACAGGCGCAATGACGTAATGTATTATCAGTTATGTCAGAGCAAATCTGTTTTTACCTGTGTCTATTACGCTAAAAATGCATCACCAAGGTGGCGTTTTCAGAACTGGAATTTGCCTGGCGATCGGGAATCTTAAAGCCGTGTGTTTCGAATAAATGAAATAATCATATATGAAGTGGCTGGTTGATTAACTTTAAATATATAAACAGCACAACAGATGGACGAACGAGACAACGATACAGTATGAGATTATGTTATGTGTTTGTAATCAAATGGTTTTGTTTTAGAATAACACCCTTATCAGAAATCATGTGTAACATTATTGAGAGTATTGCATTCGGAGCTAAATTATATGACAGAGTGAGTGCGTGTGGTCAAGTGACTGAATGGAAGGGTGGGCCTTTTTCACAATTTCATAGCAATATCCTTGTTTGATGTTTGCAGTATTCCTAATATATGGCCGCTCTGTAATTATTCGAGTTTAGACCAGACAGTGCAGTGATTGGCATCATGAGCAACGATTTACTTAATTGGGATACATTACGGGGCGGTCGGGTAGCCTTGTGGTTAAAGCGTTTGCTCGTCACGCCGAACACCCGGGTTCGATTCCCGACATGGGTACAATGTGTGAAGCCGATTTCTGGTGTCCCCCGCCGTGATACTGCTGGAATATTGCTAAAAGCGGCATAAAATCAAACTCACTCCCCCAGTCATTACGTTGCCTCCTACGCCCAGTCGTGTTTGCCTGAGATCTATTCCATCCATGGAGCTTCGGTATCAACGCGACGGGGGACACCGGAATTGAACTTCACAAATTGTGCCACGCACAAACACGCACGCACACACACAGACCAAACTCATCCCTGCGCTTCAAGAGACCCACTTCCTGGTCCAATCGTGTAAGGCGCCGCAATTCGCTGTGTAGAGTTCGAATCCCGATTCGAATTATATTTCTGGGTTTGTCAGCATCATACCTTCCTTCGTGGGTTTCATCGAACTGGTAAACGTCAAAGATATGCACAACTTCGGACTTTCCTTTTCAACATCAAACCGACTCACCGACACGACGTTATACAACTCAACGACTGTTCAAAGATGCGGAGGACCTACTTATTTAATGGACCCGCATCCCGTTAAGGAAGTCACCGGGTGAACTTTGTTTACAGTGGTGGCATGTTGGTATTTGTAAGTATGCAAATATATAGCTCACAGATTAGCAATATATTAGCAACTGTGCAAATATATAGCTCACAAATTAGCAGCATATTAGCAAGTATGCAAATATATAGCTCACAAATTAGCAATATTCATACAAAGGTTCCGTGACGCCAGTGCGTTACTTGCTTGATGCAGGGGTACTGTAAAGTTAGGTTACAAACAAGATTTCATGTTTTTCGTTAAATGTTATACGCTGAAAACTTTGAGCAAATGTATATGACAACGGCCAATCACTAATCGAGCCTTCATCTGACATTTCCTCGCCTCGTACGACAAGCACATACATGTACGTTAATAAGGTGAGGTGGCTACAAGGGTGCGTACCCACACGTCCTTACCATACTGAACATGCATTCACACGAACATATGCATGTTACAGGTGATTGGGTGCAATAAGAGTGAAAGTATAACAACAATATGATTCTTTCCATTGGTCATATATTTTCAACAAAGTTACACGATAACTGAACGCGATTTTATTGATTGACAAAATGCACCGTTATATTTCCCAAAAGCTGTATCATCGACAGAATTAAAAGCGACAAAACCCTTTCCATATTCATAAGAAATCCCTGCCGAAAGCAGAGTCGATTGTACGATTCCGACTGTATCATGAGCATGTGTTTATGAACCACAGTTACATAGTGATGATACCAGACGTTTGCGAAAAGGTGAGCGTTTCCTGTCCCATAAACACATGCAAAGGGAAGTCAATTGTTCACCAAAAAGAAACACGGGAACATATGGTACAAGTCAAAATAGGGAATTACATCGGACATACTTGTCACTGATGCGTCAAATTTGGAAATGTAGCTCCTCATGTCTGACATAAAACTTTTGGGGGGGCACGGGTGGCCCAGTCGTCTAAGGCGCCGCGATTCGCTGTGCAGAGTTGCGTCCCTTGGGCACGCCAGAAACCTATGATTGTGGGTTCGAATCCCGGTTCGCCCCGATTATGTTTTACAAACTTTCCAGGTTTGTCAGCATCATACCCGTGCTCTTGGGTTTCACCGAAGTGGTAAACGTCTGAGACCTGCATCACTTCTGGCTTTCCTCCCACATTAAGCTGACACGCCGCGATATAACTGTAATACTGTTAAAATCGGCGTTAAACCCAACTCACTCACTCACTCGCTCATAAACCTTTTTGAAAGCTTTACTGAGCCTTGAATGGTGTAACCTTGATCTCAAAGCTTCTGGGCAAGGATTTAAACAAAACCGGAATTTCCACGGGGTTCAACGTATGTTAGTGTGTGAATGTTGATATTATTATCAACACATAAGCCATACATTTCTATATCGAGGTGTATAACACCCGGACATCACTTGCTTCAGAAAGGATACTGTCAAGTTGTGTTTCAGGTACGTTCAGTGTTACATAGACAAGAAGCTGTTCCAGGAAGCAATAATGTTTGAAATCATTCAACAACATTTGGTGTAATTATTTCAAGCATTTATGTTGGGTTTAATCGTTTGCTTCGTGTTATGTTCTTCTTGGCTGCATAAAACAATCCCTCATCAGAGCCCCTCACGACGGCAGCCATTCGGCTAAAACCACTTCTCGACATTATCAGAGTGTCACACGTTGAGAGAATATATTCATCTAAAATAGCTTTCTCCATGCCAGAACAAACAGTACCTCCGTTAGGGCGGTCGATGTGAACTATTTGACCTTCAATCTCCAGGAAATGTTCAGGAAACGCTCGTTTTAACACATTTCTGGCCTCGTCCGAGTCTGTTGCTATGAACAATTTACACGAATCAGCAAACTGTATCTGTTTCTGTAAAAACAGAGCCAATGAATCCAGATCAGGTCCAGACTTTCTAGCTCCATCCCTGGGTATGGTATTTGATTTCCCCATACGTAGATGTGCGCAAATTAAAGTTTTAGATGCTCGTACTGCTTTAGCGTTAAAGGAATCCAACTTTGTCTGTGTATTGGGCGCAAACCGGAAGAGCTGAGAAAATGCGATTCTGTATATATCATGGTGACTTGTGTTCTGTGCCCATTTCACAGTAGAAAAGAGGGGGTTCTGCATGAGACTAGGAACATAATCTATATTTCCCATGTAGAAAGTCACATCCTTGTCATACATCGTTTCCAGACTCTTGTGTTTCATTTCTTGTCCAAACCCTCCACTTTCAATGCTTCTCTTAGTTTCGTGACTCCGACCTTTAAGCTTTGCCTTTTCAACACGCCATTCAACCAGATTTGGAATGACAAAATTTGAAAATTCACAAGGTATTTTCATGGATAATCCAAAGTTTCGTTTCAACATCTGTGAGACTAAATAGGATGAAATTATACCTTTCTGTCTGTCAGCCAGACCGCCACAAAGAGAATTACAATCGTAAATGATGTATTTGTCAACCAAGACGTCCATTGGTGGTGCTACATCCGGTATGACGCCATACCGGTTTGGACGAGGAGTTGTCTCCACTTGCTGAATTGTTCGAGTGACACTTGGTGAAGCCTGACGAGTGTGATTCTTGTCAGACTTCGTTCCAAAACGAGTGAAGACGTGTAGAGCAGAAACAACGTTTTTCATTTGTGCAAGACAGAAGAAACATACTAGCAGCGACGTCACACACATGACAAAAAAAAATTTAATCATTTTCTTCATTTCCTGAAAGGAGACAAAAGACTGCAATAAAACTCGTTACAATTACATCTCATGTGAGCGAGTGGGTGGTAGAGTGTGTGAGTGAGGGTTGGACGCTGCTTCGAACAGTATTTAAGTGATATAAACACGACACTTTGTCGTGTAGACTTACCTTAGGAGGAAAGTCCAAAGGGAGACGGGTCACAGACGTTTAGCAATGTTTTGAAACTTTCGAGCACGCCTTTGGTGCCGGCACGCCAATGGTACTACTTTGGCATTTGAACCCTTACCCAATGAAGCGTGCTATGGCCACGGAACTGTACAGAGAGAGGGTCCGAAGAAAGATCATTATTTCATGTCATGATTATGATTACATGAACTCAACAGGGGCGGTCGGGTAGCCTATTAGTTAAAGCGTTCGCTCGTCACGCCGAAGACCCGGGTTCGATTCCCGACACGAGTACAATGTGCGAAGCCCATTTCTGGTGTACCCCGCCGTGATATTGCGGGAATATTGCTTTAAAAAAGCGGCGTTTGACCATACTCACTCACTCACTCCTATTAACGAAATGAGGCCGGTCATGGTCATACAGCGACAAAACCTTTTCTAAAATCACAAGAAATCTCTGCCAATAGCAGAGTCGATTGCCTGTGTATATGAATCACTATCAAATATTGACGATACCGGGTATTCGCAAATAGGAGAGCATGTCTTGTCCCACCGGTCACAAACACATGCAAAAGCAAGTCAATTGTTCTGCTGAAATAACACGTGAACATATGATACGAGTCAAAATAAGGAATTGCATTGGATATCTGTCAAGTCTACGTTACATGTTTGTAAACACTGACATGTTAAATGTGTACAACCAATTCTCCGTTAAGAGAAACTGTCTACAAACTCTAGTCGTGTTCGCCCAACAGCGTGGTATTGTACAACTGTAGTTTACTGAAACAAATTAGGTTTCGAAACGCTTACCGTAAATCCCGCTTTCAAACGTGTTTTTTTCTATCGTTTCAGGTTTCGAAAATAACGATTTCATAAGAGGTGAAATGCAAGCATCAGATATCATCCAGTTCACCTTCCTGTTCAACCACAAAACAACATGGCGGGGAGGACACGGCAGGATTTGACTAACTTCGTCACTGTCCAAGCGTTCCGTACTCGTGTTAATACATGTACGTGACGTCCTGCTGGTTATCGTCCCACACAGCTGTCAACAGGTGGCAGCAGTTTGACAAGCTACACATGCTACACAGCTTCAGATAAAACACATTCAATCATTAAAACGTATGTTTTGACTTAGGGGATACTGTTATACTTAATACATAACGTAATACGTCAATTTTATTATTTGATAAATGTCATTAATATGCACATATAAAAGATAATATTAAGCAGTATCGATTATCCGACAAAACAGATTCCACTGGGCGTAAACGGCAAAAAAGCGCTGATGATAAAATGAATGGATCAATGAAAATCGGTGATGACACCAGGTGTTCGCATTAAGGAAAGCATGCTGTGCCCTACCGATTGCATCCGCCACACACACAATTTGCCTGGCGTACTTCCATATGTTGCCTGACTAAGATCATATGTATAATATTAGATTTAAAAAAGTTGGTTGGTTGGTTTGTTGTTTAACGCCGCACTCAGCAATATTCCAGCTATATGACGGCGGTCTGTAAATAATCGAGTCTGAACCAGACAATCCAGTGATTGATATATTGAGCATCGATCCACGTAATTGGGATCGATGACATGTATCAACCAAGTCAGCGAGCCTAACCACCCGATCCCGTTAGTCGCCTTTTACGACAAGCATAGTCACCTTTTACGGCAAGCATGGGTTGCTGAAGACCTATTACATCCCAGAATCTTAAAATAGAAAACAAAACAAACAGCACCTACATATATGGATTACAGCAATACCAGACAGACAGACAAATATTTTATATACGTCTCACTCATGATATAATATATTTATGAAATAGTAGTATTTATTTGAAATTGATAATGTTCAGACTAAATAAAAATATGCAACAAAAATACTTTTCATAAAATAAACCTTTTTGTGGTGTAATATAAAAAAAACAGTATGGACAGTAAAATGAATCCACTTGAATAAACACATACGATATTCTCCTGGTTTGACAGATGTAGCTGTTGTTTTATGCCGCTTTTAGCAATATTCCAGCAATATCACTGCGGGGGACACCAGAACTGGGCTTCACACATAGTACACATGTCGGGAATCGAACCCGGGTCGTCGGCGTGACGAAAGAACGCTTTGACCACTAGGCTACCCGACCGCCCCGTAAACAATACGAGTCCTATGTGATCGTATAATTGGCAAGGAAGTTAAATCTGTTTTTCATCTTCAGTCATATCATTACAATTAAAACAAACTCTTTCTTATCATAATTTAGGGGGCATTGGTTTGCAATTCGTAGCAATTCGCTGTGCAGACTATGATCTGAAACCTATGATCGAGGGTTCGAATCCCGGTTCGCCCCGATTGTTTTTCTAGGTTTGTCAGCACCATACCCGTCCTCGTGGGTTTCACCAAAGTGGTAAACGTCTGACATCTGCATCACGGTTGTGCAGATGACCAAAAAAGGTAACTCTGTCAGCAGACACACACGGTAAGGACATTTTCCCAAGGCAAGAGAGTTAACAGTTTCGACCCTTGCCGAACAAGGCTGGAATTCCTTGGCTCGATCATAGCGCCACTAGTGGCTATTAAGAGTTATGTCCCTTCTAAGCCTCTCCTATAGACCAATCAGATTACACCTCTCGTATCACCTGCATTTGCTTCAAACAAAACGGCGGCGCCAAGTCAAGACGATCTGTTCGATAATCAAGATGTATATTGTGATAAAACGGGTCTTACATCTTGAAGTGCATCAAATCACGTGAGCACCTTGATTTAAAACATACAAAGATTGTTAAAATGATATGTTGACAACGAGATAGCGGTGAACATGCTTTGCAAATCCGGCAATCGACCGAAATCTGCATGACAGTTTGCGAACCGGATTTCGATTTCGTTGCGCGATTTTGATTGGACTATGCATAGACTCGTTAGCCCAGCCAAATGTAACTCCATAATACCAGCCTAGTTCGGCAAGGGTGAAAACTGGACTTTTATAGTCAGTTAACTCTCTTGCCTCGGGAAGATGGGTAAGGATGCCATTTGTGGCTTGTTGCCAGTTTTAACTGGACTAAACTAAACCGTTGTCACCCTCGGGTAATGTTAAGACCTTTCCAGCATGAGAAACCCCCATTACATCAATATGTATTTGTTAGCCTCTTTGAGCTCAGTTGCGTGGAATTTGGAAGTAATTTAATCCATGTTGTGTAATGGTGTTGCATTGGCGGTCGAACATTCGTTTCACCTACAAACAGAATGTTTGAAAATGTGAAAAAAAAGTCTTAGATCGAGAAAGACATTATTGAGCACCCTTCTTTGCTATGCCATTTCAAAACGTCAGATGGGAGACCCTTGAAGGAACTGTTTCCTTTGGCGTAGTAATTTGGATTTTGTTATGACGCATGCGCTGTCATCTTCATCATAAACGCCACTTACATATGTCATAGGATTTGAAGCGCCTGTTACTTGACAATGGAAATGAGGTCATTGAGACGAGTTAGTTTCCTCCACCGCGGGAAAGTGTCGTCTGCTGCTCATTCAGATCACTCCGCGGAGCGCTGCAAAGTGGCAGAAAGAAGCAGACGTCATTGTGGCCAGGAGATGAAGGGCGAGCAATCGCCGGCAGTGTTTTTGGCAAATAGTCCCCAAAACATTGATATAAGACACTTAACGTTGAAATATTCCTTGGGATTATACTAAGTGCTTTGATGACCGGACGGTAACGGCTTTGAAATATTTCGGAGAGTTTCAGGTAGTCGAGATGAGTGTATGTGCTTTTCAGGGTGCTGAATTTTGAATAGTTTCAAAGATGTTAACGGTCTTCGTTACCCGTACGAATAAAGTTCATCGATGGAGTGAAGTCAGACAGACAGGGGTTACTTATACCAACCTGTGCTTCAAGGATGTTTCCTTCGCAGTACTTAAAAAGATAATTTTTAAGAATGAGTGAGTGAGTGAGTTGGGTTTAACGCCGATTTTAACAGTATTACAGTTATATCGCGGCGTGTCAGCTTAACGTCGGAGGAAAACCAGAAGTGATGCAGGTCTCAGATGTTTACCACTTCGGTGAAACCAACGAGTACGGGTATGGTGCTGACAAACCTGGAAACATAATCGGGGCGAACCGGGATTCGAACCCACAATCATAGGTTTCTGGAGTGTCAAAGGGGCGAACTCTGCACAGCAAATCGCGGCGCCTTAGACGACTGGGCCACCCGTGACCCCCTTCTAAAAATGAAGTGATGCGTGACACTATCCGAGGCAGTGACGGACTTTATGAGACCTTTGTAATTATTTCGATAAATCCGAAATGAAATAGCATCACAGAAATGCTTC